CTGTGGACATGTTGTTTTGTGTTGTTGACGCATACTTGAGATGAAGACCGATATGAGAACCATGGAAATCTCCTTTTGATTTGGTTCAAGGATGTTCAAGGTTAGCATGACGTTAACTGGAACCTCCGCAACAGGTGGATCTTTTCATGTTCATTCTCATCCGCCCAAGAGGTGTATGTTTGTTCCGGGCACGGGGGGGTTTTGGACCTGCGCCGCAGCGATGCAAAGATCGGCAAAAATCGCCTGGGAAGTCTTCCAGCGTTCAGCGAGCAGTTACAGGACACATTTGGACACCCTGATTCTTTCCATGGTTCCAGTGAGTCATCTCCCTTTCAAAAACCCGAAAGAAGGGAGGCTCTGGGGTTTGTATGCGGGAGTCAGCCGGCGTTTGGGTCAAGCTTGTCCTTTCACAACTCCAAGCGATTCACACCCCGTGCAAGTCGCTGAAGGAAACCACAACACGGCTCGTCACAGCCGTCAGTTCCACCATTCAAAGAGCTCGGGGTTTAGACCTGGTTGTTTTTCGTCTAAAACCCTCAAAAAGAGAACAGTTGAGTTGCTTTTGAGATTTGATCCGCGTGGAATCCATACATCGAGCGTGGAAATCCGTTGGGGGATCGCTCCCCCCCCAGCCACCGTGAGCACCGCTTCTTCCGTCACCGAGGAACTGGCAATGCAGCGAGAGCAGCTGCTGCAGCAGCAGCTGCTCGGCCACACCAATCGCAGTGGATCCGAAGAGACGAACGGCTTTGAGTGTGCTTGGGTTCTCCTCAAAAGCTGCAGGTTTTGGGGAGGGGGGAGGCGCGTTGGTGAGGATTCAGGCTGGACTCTGAACAGGAAGGGCCTTTTGACCTCTTGCTGAAATGAGAACTTATGTCTGCATCTTAGTTTAAACCTCTTCATTGACTTCACCCAGTCCGGTGAAGCGGACCATGTGCTGCGTTTCTGAGTCCGGGACCCGGCGTGATCAGATCAGTCGTCGGGACTGGCGTCAGGATCCGAAACAAAAAAGGGGGTGAAAAAGGTTGGCAACTGGGGTGTTCGGAAACTCATCTTGGGAGCCTTGACCAACCTCTCCCTCGCTTTACTTTGCTGCCAAAGGCTGGATGAAGCACAGCTGGCACGGCAGCACAATGTGCATGTCTCAAGCAGGATTGGCAAACGGTTCAAACGTGTTGTTTTTCACACAGTCAGAATCATGCCCCATTTGAGCGTCAAGCAGAACAGGAATCTTGGATTTTAAGCTCTGGCTATGCGACTGACCAGCGCCCGCTGACCTCGCTCCTGCCCCTGCCGCGCAGCCAATGGAGCCCTGCAGCTTTGAGATTCTCCAAAGCTCTGAGAGGACTTCCGGTGTCCAAAGAGGTCCTTTAGCTTCAAGAGGCTGACTTACTGGTTTTGTTGTGTTTGTTTCTTTTCGAACCAGGTGAGCATCGGACTGTGGCCATAGAGCTCCTTCAAAACGGCTCGACGACGTCAGCCTCGTTCGATTCCTCCCGGCAGACCCGGTCTCCCCGCACGTCGTCGACCACACCAAAGGGGTCAACGGGAAGGGCGCAGGCACCGGGCGAAAGGAAGCGCCCATGTGTGAAAGAAGCTTGGAGGAGTTTGAGCTGACTGTGGACATTGCACCGGGCAAGTTCGATAAACACGAGGTTGGCCTGATACACCAGGGTTGTCATCCCAGAAGAAGCACCTATTTGCAGGTTTCCAGCACCCCACCAGTAACTACCACTTCCCTTCTTCGGACAGAAACGACATACTAATTTGATTGAGCTGGTGCCCATAACCACAAGCCTGTCACATCAGTGTGAATGGTTCTTTTCAGCTACTGGAACAAATTGAAGGAAATCTTGCAGCGACTTCGTTGCCAGATGCGGCCTCCAACAAGATCCTGCGACAGGTCGTTTGGAGCTTTCAAGAGCAAAAGCAATGGCAGTTCATACTTGCCACGCTAGAGGCAGTGAGGGAGAACGCTGCCATAACACCAGATGTGTCCAACTACGCAGTTGGGCAGTCGACTTGCGCCAAGGCCAAACAATGGCAGGAAGCATTGAAGTTGTTTGAGGCTATTCCAAAGGGGCAAGTGCAGCCAAGCGTCATCAGCTACAATGCAGCCATCAGTGCCTGCGAGAAGGGCTGGCAGTGGCAGCACGCCTTGAAGTTGTTTGAGGCCGTACCAAAGGCGCAAGTGCAGCCAAGCGTCATCAGCTACAATGCGGCCATCAGTGCCTGCGAGAAGGGCTGGCAGTGGCAGCAAGCGTTAAAGCTGTTTTGGGCCATACCAAAGACTAAGGGGCGCCCAAACGTCATCAGCTACAGTGCAGCTATCAGTTCCTGCGAGAAGGGCGGGCAATGGCAAGAAGCATTGGAGTTGTTTGAGGACATGCCAAAGTCGAAAGTGCAGCCAGATGTTATCAGTTACGGTGCAGCCATCAGTGCCTGCGAGAAGGGCGGGCAGTGGCAGGAAGCCTTGAAATTGTTTGAGACCATTCCAAAGGCTAAAGTTCATCAAAACGTCATTAGTTATAATGCAGCCATCAGCGCCTGTGAGAAGGGTGGGCAGTGGCAGCAAGCATTGCTTTTGTTTGAAACCATGCCACATGCCAAAGTGCAGCCAGATGTCATCACCTACAATGCAGCCATCAGTGCTTGCGAGAAGGGCGGACAATCACAGGAAGCTTTGAAGTTGTTTAAGGCCATGGGAATGACGAAGGTGCAGCCAGATGTCATTAGTTGCAATGCAGTCATCAGTGCCTGTGAGAAAGGCGGGCAGTGGCAGCAAGCATTGAAGTTGTTTGAGGCCATGCCAAGCGCTAAAGTTCAGCCAACCGTTATTACTTGCAATGCGGCCATCAGTGCATGCGAGAAGGGCGGGCAGTCGAAGGAAGCATTAAAGGTGTTTGAGGTCATGCCGATGGCAAAAGTGCAACCAGACGTGGTCACTTACAGTGCAGCCATCAGCGCCAGCGAGAAGGGCGGGCAATCACAGGATGCGTTGAAGTTATTTGAGGCCATGCCAAAGGCGAAAGTTCAACCAAACATCGTTACTTACAATGCAGTGATCAGCGCCTGCGAGAAGGGTGGGCAGTTTCAAGATGCATTGAAGTTGTTTGAGGCCATGCCCAAGGCGAAAATACAGCCGGATGTGATCAGCTACCATGCAGCCATCAGTGCCTGCGAGAAGGGCTTGCAGTGGGAAGAAGCATTGAAATTGTTTGAGACCATGCTAAAGGCTAAAGTTCAGCCAACCGTCATGAGTTTCAATGCAGCCATCAGCGCTTGCGAGAAGGGCGGTCAATGGCAGGAAGCATTAAAGTTGTTTGAGGCCATACCAAAGTCTAAAGGACAGCCAAGCGTCATCAGCTACAGTGCTGTCATCAGTGCCTGTGAGAAGGGCAGGCAATGGAGTGAAGCGCTCAAGTTGTTTGAAACTATGACACGGGCTAAAGTTCGGCCCAACGTCATTAGTTGCAACGCAGCCATCAGTGCCTGTGAGAAAGGCGGCCAATGACAGGAAGCTTTAAGGTTGTTTGAGGACATGCCAAATGCAAAAGTGCGGCCAGATGTCATCAGTTGCGGTGCAGCCATCAGTGCCTGCGAGAAGGGCGGGCAGCGGCAGGAAGTATTGAAGCTGGTTGAGGCCATGAGTGCAGCCAACTGTCATCGGCTACGAAGTCGCCATCAACGTGCAGTAGCAAGAAAGATTGAAGCTTTTTGAGACCATGCCACAGGCATCAGTTCAACAACATGTCATCAGCTAGGTTGCTTTGCTTCACAACCCGGAAGACAATTGCTTGCAGTCACAGCTTGTCTACGCACTCCACCGCTTCACGGCTTCACGGCTCCACGTGCCCGGTCCGGGGCTCGCGGACGAGCAGGCTGGAAGCGTTGGAATGGGATGCGTTGGAATGGAATGGAACCACGGAGCCATCAATGAGGCCCAAGTGTCAGTGTGCCCTGTATGACATCTTCAGGTTCAACAGACGATGGCAATTGGACGGCTTGGTCAGCGACTGCCGAAAGAGAGCTGGCATGGAGCGTCTATGGCTTGCAAGAGTCTCAAGAGTGGTGTTTCCTGGGTTTTGCTTGGGGTGATGTTTCTTTTCCCTGTGGGTGAATCCCCTTCTGGTGAATATGTAATCTATTTTTGTCACCGGTTCCTTAAGCAAGTCCAAGGTGTTGAAAGTGTTGATTTCACGCAACCTCTTCGCGATGGACAACCGGTTGACAAAACAGAGTCGAAAAAGGAATCCATTTGCTCAAAACCGACTGCGAAGTGGCTTTCACACCCTCTCACGCCCTCAGAATTGACAGGTGAAGAGGTAGATGACAGGATAAGTTGATGTCGGTTGATTCAGACCATTGGCCAACAGGGCCTGGCCTCAGGGCTGAAGCTTTGTGCTGTGAGCTGGCTGGAGCTACAGCTTGTTCGCCGTTTTTTCGTTTCGGTGGAGCTGTGTCGGCTGTGGAGCTTGGTTCCACACTGCGGTGACCTGGAATGGCCGAATTCCGGGAAAAGGGTGCGGAAATGGTGAGAACCTGACCCTGGGGGCGTTGTTGGTGTTTTGGAGAGGATGAACGTGATGCTTCGGATGGGAAGCTTCCGGATAGGAGAAGATCTTTGCCACACTCCGCCCAGACTCAAGAGGGGCCTGTCAAAGCTAGATGATGAAACTGTTGGTAGGTCTTTGGTCGGTTCAGGTTTGCTGCTAGACTATACTCAGTCTTCCCAAGTGGTACTTGAGACAATGGAGGGCTTGTCACAAACGCCCTTTGGCAGTGGAGCCAAGAGTTCTCCAAGCCTACTTTGTTCATATCCGCGGCTCTTGGATGTGGTTCTGCAGCCACCAGTGTGCTACCTCAACCACCTCCTTGGCCATCATTTCCCATGTTTCAACCAACCCGTTTTTGGGACGTCGCACCTACTGTGAAGAACACCTCGGAGCTCAGGCTGCAGCAGCAGGTGCAGCAGCAGCAGCAGCACCTGCAGCGTGAGGATGACGAAATGTTATCGCGGCATGACGCTCTCAGGCGCCTACCTACCCGGTCAGTGGATCACCTGCAAAACCTTGTTGGGGGAAACTGAGGGAGTCAGCATATGCAGTGTCTAAGGGCTGTGTGTGTGTTTTGGGTCTCCACAAAAGTGGGAGCATGTGTGGGAGGATGGTCTTCGCTCCGGTTTCGTCGATGGATGGAATGGGTCGATGCGGTCCCATTGGGACCCAGCAAAGGATGGCCGGTCCGGGGTGACCAGTTCCTCTTGTCAAGGAGAGCAATCAAAAAGATGAATGAGGGACTGCTATGCCGCAGTGTTCCTTCGGTACGTTGTGGGGAGGAGCTGTTTGATCTTGATGAGAAGAATGAGAAGCAGAAGAAGTGAAGACCTGTTCAACAAAAGGGGAGAAACTGGATGTCAGCCTGGACGGAACATCAGTCTATCATCATCTATATATCTACTTTCGCTTCTCTTTCTGCGGGTATGGATTCCAAAAGGTTTGGATCACTTCCATGTTGTTGGATCAGTTTGATCGGCGGAATGGGCACCCAGTTCGTTCGTTCGGTCCAGAAAGCTATGGCAGGACATTCCCATCACTGCAGTTCCACCTGGAAAAAAAGGAAACGATGCCAAAGAGCATTGGAACTGTGAAAATCGTTCGACGGTAAGGCAGAACGGCGTGGGGCCGGTGGGGTTGTTTCGGTCAGTTCGACCGGCGCCGTTCGGCTAGCCGAACGCCACCGTCAAGCCGAGATCGTGGGAGTCATTGGCCCAGCAAGTTGCGAGGTGCGCAGTATCTGGAATCGACCTTGAAGGATGTCCCACAACCCGGCAGTTGGGGCTTGGCACAAGCTAGCACAAGCGCTAAGCCACCCATCTCACGAAAAAAACAGATCAAGGCAACCATCCACGGCCCTCTTCCTCTTTGCTTCCAGCTACAGGGGGACACGTCTTGGTCGAGCTGCGCGTCCGCAGATCCTTCGGCACGGACGTTTCCGCGAACGCCAGGAGAAGGAGACGGCCACACGATGAATCCGAGCTGTGCTAGGCTCATGGGGCAATGAAAAGGACTGTGGCAGAGTAGGGGGGTAGGATTGGGTGAGGGCGGATTTCGGCATGGGGTTGGTTTAGGATCACAAGTCATCGCCTCAGAGTGAATTTTCCACTCACCAACTTCTTGGAAAGAGGTCTTGGTACTTTGCACGACCCGGCCTTGGGTTTTTCGTGTTGGAACATTCCCCAACAGCACCACGAGTTGCAGCCAAAAACATATCGTCCTCCAAACATCGGGTTCATACGATGCTAGTCCCAAACAGGTCGTCTTTGGGACCCTCACTTGGTTGGTCGTTCTTCCATCCGGTTGGTCCCAACGGGTGAGGTGGACCACCTGGTGATGTTGAGCCAAGCTCGTGTAGAGGGCGGATCCAAAGAGAAGAACGCCCACCGTTGGTGGCATTCATCAAGCAGGATGGATTCACCCCTGGGCCCCTAACTATAACGAGCGATGAGTCTGTCACTTTTCTATAACGGGACGGATAAAATCATACGTCTTCTTCGCCCTGAGTAAGTAAACATCACTCCCAGCTGCGCTCGCTCTGCTTCTGATCACGCCACCGCCAGGCACCGACAGAAACGCGGACGCGGGAGGCAAACGCGCCTGGAGCGGCAGATGCACGGCCTCAAGAAAGGCGGCGCAGCGGTCGCCGCGGCGGAACTCGGACCGAAGGAGTCGGTGTCCGGACTCGAGTCCACATGGAACCCGATGTGGGTTCAGCGTGGGGGTTCACCCCGAGGCAATATGAAGACGAAGCTATTTAAATGTCAAGTTCTCAAGTTGGCAAGACTCAAGTACGCCTCAAAGAAACCAGACAACCAGCAAACATTGGCAAGTTTGTTGCCAACCACAACACATCGACACTGAAAAAGGTTCCCCATCCAAACCACTTTCCACGGTCCGTACCCAGAACGACCAGGCCTGCAGCAGCTGCGCCCAGCGGAGCGGCGCCAGGCACTCGAGCAGCTGAGCCCGGCGGCGCGTCGGGGATGCCCGGTTCGGGGAGAGGCGCGTCGGGGGAGAACGAGGAAAAGAGATTGGTTCTTGTGCTGAAAAGTTTGGAAGAGCAATCGCACAAAGAAAAGGAACAATAAAAGCAGCCATAAAAGAGAAAAAGGAGAAGGAATCAAAGCGGAATGTGTTTTTTCTACTTGTCTTTGGGATTCGTGGCCTTCCTTGAGAGACAGCTCAGCTTGGGTGAGTGGGAATTGGGCGCAAAGTGTGTGGCCCTCGATTACCCAACCGGATGCGCCATGATGCACCAGCCGTGCTGCATTGAACGGGTGTGTTGAGCAACCAGTTTTTGAAGGAGTTCGGGGTTAGTAGCTTCTAGCTACTAGCAACTAGTAGTAATGCACTTGTTACTAGTAGCGATGCGCTTGCTGTAGCTTCTAGCTACTAATCTACTCAGCCTTTGGAAGCGGAAGCAAGCTGGCTTGAGGCCAAGCACTCTTGCGCTTTATGACCAAGGACTGCCTGGAGCAGATCAGATGGTCGAGAGTCTAATCGACCTTGATCGGAAGATACCATGCTGGTCACTTCCATTGACCTTCATCCAAGTCTGGGGGAACATGTTTCTCGTAGCTCAGCTCCGATCTGATCAGAAGTGGCCAACATGGATCCGAGGGCTACGGAGCTGAGCGCTGTTGATGGACCAGGTCTTGGGCATGATTCAGAAACACTACGTAGTGAGGATACCTTTGTCCACCGCGAATACCGGCCAGACGGAATGTCCGTTTTTACGTCGTGGTACGAGAATTTGCTCCATCAACAGCACCCATCAATGGAACTGGTTTTCCTGGGTGTGTAGCTCAAATAGGGAGACCGAACCGACGGCCGGCGGGCGTAACCCGATCCCCGGGTTTTGGGTTTGGTTCGGGAAGGTTCGACCAGTCTACCCAGCCCAACACCGAGGAGTTCTCCCGTTCGGTTGGCGTCTTTCAGGGAGAGAGCTGGATGGCTCCATGTGGAGTCCGAGCAATCGATCGATCAATTCAATCGACGCATGACAAACAGGTTGAGGTGGAAGTACTTTCGAAATCTGTCCAAGTTCTGTCCTGAAATTCAGAGTCGTCATCGAGACAAGGAACAGTTTTCGAAGCCAAATCAGCTGAGAACTTTGGGGTGGAGTTCGTCTCATGATTGTTTTTTGCAATCTCTCGTGTCAACCAACGCATCAAGATTTGTAGTTGGGTTTCTTTGGAGTACAGTAGATTTGTGGCGGAATCTAAAATTCAATTAGAAGCAATAGGAACGAAGTTCCCCTGTGATTGAAGTCTTGCACCGTCCATGGTTCTGTACTCTGAGAGTCTGGCTGATCGGACGCCTGGCTAACGCCACGGCTTCCGGAGCTGGACACCTCTCACAGCCAGAGATTTGCAGGACCTCTTTGCTTTGCCCAAGAGGTGCAGTCCAAGGCGAGGCGTGAGAGGGCAGGGCGTGAGAGGGCTGGTCCAAAAAGCATAAATGTACAGGTCACCACTTGCGACTGGCAAAGCCAAAAGCCACCAGAGGAGACCTGTTGCACGTTCGAGGGTCCTGGTAGTCGAAGAAACTACCAGGAGTTCGAAAGGGGGTTGGGAATGGATAGGGATGTAGGTGTGGGTCTGGTGTCCCTTATCGGGGTCGAGCCCAGCCATCGCTTTGGTGCCAGCTTCTTCGAATTGGCCTCTTTTAGAGAGTGTCTTGCACTAAGTCAACTATCTGTGAGCCAAGTGGCCTCAAGTGAGAAGGGGCATCCAATTCGGTCACTAGCAGTCCCATGCTTCCAGCAGAAGCAGCATCATAAGACCCAACAGAGTATCGCAGGTTTGGCCCTGACTATCACACATGCCTTCACACCAAGTAACAAATAGATTAACCATCCTCATGTTTGGTAGTTCACTAGTCACGTGGAGCTTTTCAGTCCCGGATCGACCGAAGATCGAAGATCATCGAAGATCCCACATCGGCCCCTGGTGCTTTCGGTGAAGGTGAGGAGATCCCCCCTCAAATCCCCCCAAGCACCACGGGGAACGTGAGGGATTTGGGGCGGCTTGGGTCGATAGTTGGGTCGCTTTGCCTGCTTGCAGTGTCCAGGTGGTGCTGGTTGGTGCGGCTTCGAAAAGCTTTCGTTCGGCACCGCTCAACGTCTGTGACCGCGTCTCGGCCCAAGACCAGGCTGGTCGCCTTCGTCGCCGGCGCCGAATGAGACGCACCCGGTCCGTTGTTCCACGGAGCTTCGCCGTCTCCGAGCGCTTGCGAGAGAAATGTGAAGAGGTGACGGAGGGAACTATGGCGACTCTGTTGCCGGAGGTGAAGCAATCCAAAGAGAAGCTGAAGCAAGTCTTGAAGTTGTTTGGCCAGCAGAAGCGAGGTAAGCTTGCCTATGTGTTGATGGAGGCAATCCGAAAAGAAGGAGTCAGACTAAATGAGTCGGGCTACGCTCTTGGAATTTCATCATGTGCTAAAACAAAGCTTTGGCAGCATGCATTACAGTTGTTTGAGTCTATGCCCAAAGACAAGGTTCAGCCAAAGCTGTTCAGCTACAGTGCAACTATCACGGCCTGCGAAAAGGGTGGGCAATGGCAGCGAGCATTGAGTTTGTTTAGAGCCATTCCAGAGGCTACAATCGAGGCTGACGTCATTTGCCACAGTGCGGTCATCAGTGCATGTCAAAAGGGTAAGGAGTGGCAGCAAGCGTTAAGCATATTTGAGGCTATGCCCAGAGTGACGCTTCAGCCGGATGTGATCAGTTACAATGCAGCCATCACTGCCTGCGAGAAGGGCGGGCAGTGGGAGAAAGCATTGAGTTTGGTGGAAGCTTTGCCCAAAGCTCATGTACCGCCAACTGTCATCAGCTTCAGTGCAGCCATAAGTGCCTGCGAGAAAGGTGGGCAATGGCAGCAAGCATTCAACTTGTTTGAGGGGATGGGCAAGGCGCAACTGCAGCCTAACACGATCAGCTACAATGCTGCCATCAGTGCATGCGAAAAAGCTGCTGAGTGGCAGCATGCTTTCAGCTTGTTTGAGGCAATGCCAAAAGCAAAGCTTCAGCCAGATGTGATCAGCTACAATGCAACTATCAGTGCCCATGAGAAGGGTGGGCAATGGCAGCAAGCATTGAGTTTGTTCCTGGCCATGTCCAAGGCCAAAGTTCGGGCGGATGTCATTACCTACAATGCCTGTCTCAGCGCTTGTGAGAAAGTGGGTCAATGGCAGCACGCGCTCGACTTGTTTGAGGCCATGCCCAAGGCCAAAGTTCAACCAGATGCCTATAGCTACAGCGCAGCAATCTATTCCTGCGAGAAAGGCGGGCAATGGCAACAAGCCTTGAGCCTTTTTGCCGCCAGGCCGAGAATCAGGCAACTGCCTGAGAACCTTGGCCACTGACGGTTGCGTGAGAGATCATCCTCGCTTTCGGAGGACTGTGCAGCGTCAAGCTTTCCAGCGTCTTGCGAAGCACTTGCGAGCAATAGGGGACCACCTCACTTGTATACGCGCCTGCAAAGCTTTGCAGAAGATCATGAGATCTCTCAGAGCAGTTGGAGAAAGCCTCAAAGCTCTCGCTTAACACAGCTCCTTGCAGCTCTGGATGCCATGTGCTCGTTTAGACTTTCCAAGTGCTGGCCAGCCATATGGGTGTGGATCGAATCCGGGACCCCCGAAATCGGTGGCCACAGGGATCAACCAAACAGTTTTATGCCTATCCTTGTGACCCAATACCCATATGGGTGTGTATTCGAATAGGGAGACCCTGGCCCAATGGATTGCTGGTCTATTTCTCTTCTTCCAGGGGGTCCTTGGGAGGTCTCCCTATTTTAATACACACCCATATGTCACACCGTGCTCATAAACTATTCCTGTTCTCCACTCAGTCATTTCGCTGAGATGGGAGCGGTGTCAGATGGGCCTGCTGTTTACTGCATGGTTTCATGGCTTTTATACTTTATACCATGGCGTTTAACCTCGCCAGCGAGGTGAGCCTTGCTTGCCAACGTATGGCGCAAGCCACCCTTTTTCCGTGCCCCCAAGTGTGGAGGAATTCTTCCTCAGCTTGCCATGAGATGAAAAAGCAGTATCAGCAGAGGCCTTTGGGACGGACAACATCTCCCCCTCAGCAGCTCCTCACTCCGTCGCCGTCGCCAGTGTTCTCTTTTGCCGGGAGGCAAGCGAATCGCTCGGAGATCGCATGAGTTTAGGTCATGAGTCCTGACATGTTGGGTGAAGCGAATTCTGACATGACGTGAGCCATTGCCTTTCCAGGTGTAACAAGAACCTGATGTTTTCAGAAAACCTCTTTGGTGTGTCAAAAAAATACCGCTCCCTCAACCTCGTCCTTTCATTGCTGTCCCAGGCTAGAGAGAGAAGTCATCGAATCCAGAGACGCACCAAAACTGGGTGGAAATACCATGTTGTGGTCAAAGTGGGATGGGATGCGCCCCTGCTATTGGTAGGTCATGACTGGCATGTCTGCCCCGATTGCCCAGAACCAGGAAAAAACCGATCTGAAACACCAAAAAGGAACAGAAACGCGAAGCGCGGTCGCTCAGACAACGAGTCGCGAAGAAGGCGAACAGATCCCCCAGACCCCCAGAGTTCAACGAGAACCCTGAGACTTACACATTCGAGAAGAACAGAAAGACTAACACATGTGTCACCAACCAAGTCCTCCAGACTCCTGGGATTGGGGGGTCTTCCCTGACCGGTCACCCTGCGGCTTCCCAAACACCCACCAGGAAGTCCACTTCATCCACGTGCCAACAACCGGTCTTGGCTTCGTTCTTCGCGGCCAAAGCCGACGGATCCGTCGCCCCAAGACCGGTCGCCTTCGTCGCCGAATGAGACGCACCCGGTCCGTTGTTCCACGGAGCTTCGCCGTCTCCGAGCGCTTGCGAGAGAAATGTGAAGAGGTGACGGAGGGAACTGTGGCGGCTCTGTTGCCGGAGGTGAAGCAATCCAAAGAGAAGCTGAAGCAAGTCTTGAAGTTGTTTGGCCAGCAGAAGCGAGGTAAGCTTGCCTATGTGTTGATGGAGGCAATCCGAAAAGAAGGAGTCAGACTAAATGAGTCGGGCTACGCTCTTGGAATTTCATCATGTGCTAAAACAAAGCTTTGGCAGCATGCAGTACAGTTGTTTGAGTCTATGCCCAAAGACAAGGTTCAGCCAAAGCTGTTCAGCTACAGTGCAACTATCACGGCCTGCGAAAAGGGTGGGCAATGGCAGCGAGCATTGAGTTTGTTGAGCGCAATGCCTGAGGCAGAAGTGCAGCCAAGTATTTTCAGCTTCAGTGCAGCTATCAGTGCTTGCGAGAAGAGCGCAAAATGGCAGCAAGCATTGAGCTTGTTCCAGTCCACGCCCCAGGCTGATGTTGTAATCTACAGTGCGGCCATAAGTGCCTGTGAGAAGGCCGGCCAGTGGCAGCAAGCTTTGGACTTGTTTCAGGACCTGCGCCAGGATGAAGTTCAACCTGACGTCATTAGCTACAGTGCGGCCATCAGCGCTTGTGAGAAAGGTGGGCAATGGGAGCAGGCACTAAATCTGTTTGACGCCATGACAGAGTCTCAAGTGTGGCCAAATGCCATAAGCTACAATGCTGCCATCAGTGCCTGTGAGAAAGGTGGGCAATGGCAGCAAGCATTGAACTTGTTTGCGGGCATGCCCAGAGCTCAAGTGCGTCCAAATGCCATAAGCTGCAACGCTGCCATCAGTGCCTGTGAGAAGGGGGTGCAATGGCGGCTAGCACTGAGTCTATTTCAGGCCATGCCAAAAGCGAAAATGCAAGCAGGTGTTATCAGTTACAGCGCAACCATCAGTGCCTGTGAGAAGGGCGGACAGTGGCAGCAAGCATTGAATCTGTTTGAAGCTATGTTTGTAGCCCAAGTTCACGCCGATGTGATTAGCTACAGTGCAACCATCAGTGCTTGTGAGAAGGGTGGTCAATGGCTGCATGCATTGAGACTACTTGAGACCATGCCAAGGGCACAGGTGCAGCCAAATGTCTTCAGCTACAGTGCTGCCATTAGTGCCTGTGAGAATGGCAGGCAATGGCAGCAAGCGTTGCAACTGTTTGAGGCTATGCCAAAGGCCCAAGTACAGCCCAATGTTTTTAGCTACAGCGCTGTTATTTGTGCTTGTGAGAAGGGCGGGCAATGGCAGAAAGCATTGAGTTTGTTTGAGGCCATGCCCAGGGCCAAACTGCAGGTTGATGCAATTAGCTACACTGCAGCCGTCAGTGCCTCTGAAAGGGCAGGGCAAGGGCTGCAAGTCGGAGGTTTGAACACTACCACTGCCAGGCGGTAAGCAGCATCCTCTCTGGAGAATCTTTTGTTCAGGTAGGCGACTCAGGGAAGTATGAACCCTAGACTCATGTCCAACCAGCTGGGGAACGAAACCGGCTTCGCACTGTGAGACGGTCCAGCTCCTGTTCTTTGTGACGACTGCAGAGGTCACCGTGCCACGTCAGGAGCAGCGACATGGCCCGGTCACCGGATTTGTATCGAGAAAGCGGTTGCGGTTTGGGATTTGGCAAGACATGTTTGTTCCACAGAGGGATTCGGAAGTGAGGATGAGGAGGTCAACACTCCCTGTGCCCCTTCAGCTTCCTGGCCTGCCATTGATTTAGTACTGTAACTAGTAGTCTTTACAACTCTTTACCGAACAGCCATTGTTTTATTAAGGATGTTACAATACAAGACCAGCTCTTTCCATTGTTCAAAATCGTCCTGGAAGCCAAACATCGTGTGTGTTGAATCCACCAAACATCGTGTGTTGCCCCCAACTGCTTCTTTTGCACGTGCTCATCATAGAAATCTTCACAGCTTGGGTGACCAACAGGAGCAACCAGAAGAAACGGGGAAGCCAGTCGTCTTGGACATCTCAATCCGGAAACGCAATCCTTTTTTGGGGATACGATGTGCACGCTGGGCTGGAGAGCAGATCACACCTTCGAGGAGAAAAAGGGAAACCGGGTGTTGGGAGCGCGGGGAGTGCTCCACTTCTTCGACCGGGCTGGGATGCGAACGCCTCAGACACGCTGGGTGATGCAGTGATGCCGAGAATTCCAGGGCGCCTGCAAAAGACATTGAGGACAAACACTGGTCAATCAAAAGTCGTCCTTCTTTCCAGTGAAGACAGGACACATTGGTCCAGCAACTGTGTGATTAGTTCGCTGCTTTCAGGATGGTAGGTTCATGTATATTGATGTGCCTGGTCGCCCATGTTGTTCATTTTTCCTTTTGATCCACTCCCACATATTGTCTTGATCTGCACACATTCGGGGACGGCACGGCCCACTGCATCTCCATCTCTTTGGGTGCGCGTGTGAGGCAACACCTCTCTTTTTGACTGGCACGACAGAGTCGCGCACATGCACTCTACTCCAGATCTAAAAAGCCACTGTCTACATCAACATTGGATTTTTTTTCAGACACCTGGTGACGTTCGATTGATATATATATAGTATATCTCTCTCTCTCTCTCTCCAAAACCACCGAAGTCCGGTGAATGACCTCCACGAACTTCCGGGAACCCATGGACCTCCCAACGCTCCATGGACCTCGGCGCCAGGGAAAGAGGCGGAGAGCCATGCGTGACTCGCCCGGCCGCGGCCCAAAGCAAACAGAGTCGACCGAAGGGTCGAAGGATTTCAAGCAGAAAACAAAAAAGGAACACCAAAATCGAAAGCAAAAATGACATCTTTCATAGGTGTTGTTTGTATCTGTTGGTTGTGTTTTTCTTTGAGAAGAAAAGAAGTTTCTAGGAGAATGTGTGTGCCCCACGAGTGACCCTCCAATTTTTGCCAGTCTGGGTGATGGGCGCAACACCTCACAAGCACCATCACCTGAGAACCCCAGACACGACCTGTTTGCGAGGCACATGGAACAAAAGTTCCTGCCGACAGAACCTGAATGACCTCTAAAATTAGACCCTCAAGCACATCTAAAAGATATGTGTGTGTGTGTGTTCTTTTCTTCTGATCACAACGGAGGTCATGTCTGGGTTCTAGGATACATGATACAGGAAACCAAGAAAGCAATCCATCACTTTTGGCCGGAGATCGACGGTCAGTCCAACGTCATCGTGTGAACGCCTTCATCGCCCGCCAGCACGCGGGATCCTTCGGCAAACGGTGAGTTATCTTGGGCAGATCCTGATATGAGTTATAGTAGCTTCTTGCTACTAGAAGTAATGCCCTTGTTACTAGTGGCGGTGCATTGTTGCTAGGATTTTTCGGATCAGTTCATGCACCACCTGCGGAAATGTGTGAAACACAAAAGGCACTCAAGGTCCACTCAGGGTCCGTGCAAAGGGAAAAGTACCTTCCTCCAGTGGTTGGTATCCTCCTGAGATACGAATGCCACGGGAGACGGGAGGGAAATCACGGAAAATGAATCGTCGCCGTTCACCGTCGCTGGACGATTCTTGCATCGCGCGTACGCCAGGCTGTTGACTCACCGGAGTGTGTTGACTCCAACCATGTTTACCAGAAACTCTCAAATGCTGGGACTCGGCCTTTTTGTCATCCTTGGAAAAGACTCTACCAAAAGGTGGTAGTGTAGTGGTCCTCTTCTGAACGGAGTCTTCCTTCAGCTCCCATCATCACCCTTCACCCACCTTCACCACACCTCCTTCGGGGCCTTTCTCAGGTCAGGCTCCGTGGCGTCCGCCGGGTGCCCACCGGCTTGTTCCAGGCGCTTTCCCCACGTGTGACCGCGCGCCGGCAGCGCCCCGCCGTCCTCGCCGTCCTCGGCGCGGCGAGGCCTCCATCAGCTTCGCCAACCTGCTGGTGCGCTCGCGCACCGCCAAGTCCGCGGACGCCGCGCTCCGGTCCCGAGCCTCGGTGTTCGCCGGTCGCGTCCGGCGTTGGAACCGGTCGGCCAGCGGTCGGACGGAGGAGGGAACTTGATATACGGTTCATGGCCCCCCTGAGTGGGGGAACACACTAACATGTACAGTGGTTAGTGGATGTTAGTGGTTGATCCACGGATATAAGAAACATCTTTGGGTGGTCTTTGAATCTTTCAAGGTTTTACCTGTGGTATATGTCCCATCAGCAGTAGAGTAAGAGCTGGTGGAGGGTGATAACTATTTCTGGGAAGGACCTTTACTGTACTGAGCATCAGCCACAGTTGCTGGCAATGGGATCTACCGCCCGTTTTAAAAGTGCACCCCAGCAGTAAGCCCTGGCCGTCCAGAAAACCGATCTGAAGCCGTAAACAGGCACCCACTGGCACCACTCACCGCCTCAGCTGAGGTTCCACGGCGCCCTCCGGCGCTTCCGGGAGCTCTCCGTCGGTGGAGACGCGAACGGCGGAGACGCGCGGGCGACGGCGCGCTGCGCAGCGCTGCGCCTTGAGGGCGAGCGCTTGCAGGAAGCGTTGGCTGTGGCCTGTGGAGAGGCTCGAAGGGAGTTGAAAAGCGGAACACTGAGGAGGGCTGTAGGGCTGGGTGCGAAAAGACAAGATAAAAAGGCCTAAAGTGTTCTTCTTATTCTTCTCTTCTTCTTCATTTCTTATTCAATCCTTATTCATTTATAATTCTTCTTCTTTCTTCTTCTTCTTCTCCTCCTCCTCCTTCTTCTACACAAAGTAGGGAAGCAGACCATCAGATGTTCCTTCTTAGGCAGCGATCGGAAGTCACAGGAAGGGGCCGTATACCAATCAACATCCAGAGATGGTCGCTCAACAGCAAAAGCACACTGAAAAGAGACTATCTCAAGCAGTTGCTTGGCATTTGACATGACCAACCTTGTGCTTCCGGTTACCTCCAGGCCGGGCTCCAAGAGGAGGACCTGAGGCAGGGGCGTGTCTGCCCGAAACTCGGCCGGTGGGTCCGTTGAGGCACCAGGTGTTCCGGCACTGGATTGAATCATGGAGTTTTCTTTTGGGTTATGATGGTCACATCATCTTCACATAGTTAATGGTTCATTCCCTCTTGTGTTGCAAAAGTGAGACTGGGTTTTCATGGGTTGCCCGTGTTGGTTGAATTCAATTTGAGACCCGCGCGTGCCGCGTGCTCCAAGATTTTGTTGAAGATGGGCCCAGTTTGCCGGGAGTTGGAGAGAAAGGAAGGAGTTCGATGCATGCGTGTCGCAGATGTTGCAGAGGCCAGTGGACGTACAGCCATGAGAGCCAGTCATTGAATGGTCATTCAGAACATCACCGGACGGAGTCATATACAATGATTTTCCCTCTCAGCGTGATGTGTGGCACCCTTGGATGAACAAATGAAGGAGCTTTCGTCAAAAGGCGTCAGTTTCGTCAACTCCAGCTTCAAATGTGGACCAAAGGACGAGAGTTGGAGAGCAGAAGAAACCTTTGCTTTTAATTACACCTTTAGCTTCTTGTTACTACTAGTAAGGCACTTGTTACTGGAAGTGATGCACTTGTTCCTAGTAGCTTATTGTTTCTACTAACTTCTTGTTACTACTAGTAAGGCACTTGCTCCTAGTAGCGATGCCCTTGCTCCTAGTAGCGTCGCTTCAAATGACCAAAGGACGAGAGTTGGAGATGAAAAGGAAGAAAGAGACCCTTGACGAAGTCGAGGTGGCGAGTTCGCCCCGCCACAAGTTAGCCTCGCGGCAAGCCGCTGTGGCGGCTCTTGCCGCAGTGGTCAAAATACTCACTTGTTTCGAAAGGGAGGTGAGGACATGGAGAAAAACTATGAACAAGCTCAAGTGGTCTGATATATATATATATATAATGTATATTGCAAAAGGATGGAGAAATCTCTCAAAAGCTTGCAGCTCTTCTTACTGGCTCTTTTCAGCCTCGCGCAAAAGCTCGCAGCCAATGCCCAGCATGCAGAAGACCTTTCTGGGTGTTTATGAGGGCAGGTTTTGCATTTGCTCCGAATTTCGACGAAAAGAGCAGGTGCACCCCATCAAACTTGGTGCGTTGGAGCCGGACATCCTAAGCCGCCGGGACAATCCTGGATCCACCCTGGAGACGGCAGAACCTTCTGCTGCCTCTGAAAGGACATGAAAGTAGGCCGGCCTTAGACGGAAGTGAGCACCTCCTTTCTGCACGATTCGAGGGGAAAGGCCAGGGCGCCTTTCAACTGGCTGTTGAGTGGGTTGCTTTACAGGTCAGGGAGTCGCAAGACCAATACTCCCGATCATGGTCATTGTCTCAATCACGACCCCTCACACCAACTTGACCGGGCTGCACAGCTGCCATTTGCCCCACAAAGAATAGTAACTAGAAGCTACTAGGTGGAGGCCATCGCTAATTAGGGTGGAGGCCATCGCTACGAACGTAACAAGAATCCTTTCTAGTAACTCACAGAACCCGCGGCGAACTCCGCGAACTCCGCGGCACGGTGAAGGCCCTCGTACAGCGCCACACTGCGGACTGTCTGGGCACGGGTCGAGAGTCCAACGACCAGTTCCTCGGTGAGTGACGCGGGGAGACATGTTTGATGCCTTGGAAGTGAGTGGATTTTGAGATAGATAGAAGAAAACCTGGCAGGCCTGGAAGGTTTGGTTTACACTGGAGATTGGAGGGTGTTCATCAACTGTGTACATCAGTTGGGTGTGCTTTGCCTCACAAGTTTCAAGTTTGGCACTGGCTGGATGCAACCGGCAGTCACAAACCGGGGCAGGACTTCGGCTTCGGTGCTCAGCGCCCTAACATCATTCTATTGAGGGCTTGAGCCTTCCATTCCAGACCCCTTCAGGTCTATCCACCAGCTTTTTCGATTGTAAATTCGATTGACTCAAGTAGAAAAACATGGTAAAGAGAAGAAGCTAACAGCTCTCTCTCTCTCTCTCTGTCTGTCTGTCTCTGTCTCTGTCTCTGTCTCTGTCTCTGTCTCTGTCTCTGTCTCTGTCTCCCTTCCTCTCCTATCAATGCCCTCTCCACCGTTGTTGCCGAGGCTCCTTGACCAAGGCCTTGGCCCGGAGCCTGGGGGAACCGGGGAACTGGGAACCAGGGCCTGAGGGATTTCAGCGAACCAAGGGCCGCACGGGTGCGCAGCGGCAAACGGCTGGCTTTGCCAATTCATGGACACAACAGGCATAACAAGAAGCTACTAGGAACAAGTGCATCGCTTCTAGTAACAAGTGCCTTACTAGTAGTAACAAGAAGCTATGGGATCACCCCTTCAAATTTGTGCTTCCGTTGGCTTGAAGCAAGCCACTCCTTTCTGTCCACTAAGACCCCACGTCTTCATACCAGGTAAACACAAGGCTCCATGGCAATAACATGATGGGTCTTTCGTTTCCCCCGCATCTGTGACCAAAGTGCGGCTCTGTACAGTCACATTTTGGACCACCTTGTGCTCCACCTTGCGCATGCCACAGAGAGAAACTTACAAGTGACATTCCAGGAGTGAGAGCACCACCGTATTGAAGCCAACCAATGGGCATTCTGTTTTGTAGATGTTCACCGGCTTTGGTTCTGACCTAGCCAATATAGGAATGTTGTAGACATTACACCAGCATCGACCTCAAACAGTAGCGGAAGCTTGAGGATTCTTTTTGCCAGGCGAGCATTGAAAGTTTTTGCTGCCAGTTTGAGCCATGGGAAGCAAGAGCGACAAAGGGAGACAAAGAAGCTTAACAAAAGAACGCACAGGACCTCAACTGTCAACCACAGTCTTTCTGAGGTTTGGTTACAGCGCTTGCGGGCTGCCAAGGGCAGTTGGCCACAGCAACTTGGCATTGTGTCAACGCAAGCGATGGCAACGAAGCTGAAAACAGTTGGATGTTGCAAGTGGTTGTGTGTAACAGAACCAAGTTCACGATGGGCATTGCACATTCTTCTGCACCCGCCGCTCTTGAAAGTGTAGAGTCGAAACACCTGGGTGCTTCGGGAAGCCTTTACGAGATCAGTTTCTTGTGGATGTTGGGTACTTGCATCACTTCGGGATTGTGTTTTTAATAGGCTTCCTTGGATCGCCTCGGCCCCTCCCGTTCATGGCATTGTTTGGAATGCTCGGACCCTTTGCCTCGGTTGCAGTTCAAAGCTTCTGTGGACTTCAAGAGCAAACAGAAAAATCATGGTTGACTTAGGTGTTTTGCCTGCAACCCCTACTAAATAAACCAAAGAATGTTCTGACACCTTAAATCAATGGCGCTTCACTTTCCTTGACCTGATGTAATTCCACCCGGAATACCACACACTGCTGGCTTGCAGTTTCAGGTCGGGCTTTCTCTTCTCCCTAAGCAAGTGGCATCGTGCCGAAGCGCCCGCCCTAGGTTGCGCGAGGCGTGGGTCTCGGTCCTACAAGAGGAGCGCCCCGGAGGCCGGTTCCGTCCGGCACCGGCGGGTCCGTCGGTCGGTGCGCCTAGGTCGGAGTTGGATGGAAGAAGTGCAGTCCAAAAGGTCCAACCAACCCGTTGGATGGAACTGCTTCTTTGATATGGGGTGTTTTTTTGATTCGATGCCAGGAGTTTCGGGGGAGACGTTTGCCACAAGAGCAAGGATGCCAAGTGGAGGTAGAGGTTTCGTATGAGCAACTGTTTGAGGGTGTCCGCACGGGGCCAGCTTTCAGGGGGCACTGCAGGTAGTTGGATTTCGAGGGGTTGACTCCGTTGATTTAAGAAGATTGGAATTCCCTCAAGGATGCAAGCATGAGGAGAACTAGATGTTGGGTCTGGAGCTTTGGGGAGGATTTCATTTTTGGGCCATGCAGGAAGCCTTTTCTTCAACTGTGTCCAGAACGCTCTGGCCCAAGCCCCCGACTCAGTCCCGGGCTTTCTTCGGACTCCCATCCAATCCAACTGGGACCACCGGTCAATGTGAGATGTGAAGAAAGACAAGGGGGGTTCACCGGGATGAAGGAGGGGGGTTGATGACCAGCTGAGCAGGAGAAAGACCGTATTTGGAGCTTGAAAGATTTTCGGTCCCGACACTCGGGAAGTAGATTCCAGATGCTGCTGAGTGTTGGTCGATGGACTTGTGGTTGATTGCAAGATCTCCAGGCAAAACGTCCATCTCTACGATTTAACCGAATTTCATGGCCTTGTCTCTGTCCTTGCTCTTTCTTTTCACACGACCTGCCGCCGGTCCTTTTTCGCCCAAAGAATCAAGGCTTCCCGGTAGGTCGGCCTTCCTGGCTTCCTCGCTCGCCGATGCCCACGCGTTCGGCGCGGTGGTCGGTCCTCCCCGCGATGCATCTCTCGGCGCCGCGCGGCGAACCACAGCGCGGTCGTCCCAACCGCTCTGGGCGGTGGGGCACGAGACGTGGCCGTGAGACACAGTGGCGATCCTTGGAATGCTTGGCGATCCACGTTCTCGTGGGACGAGTGGAGGGTAAGGCCAAAAGACGTCAACATACCGTCTTGGTGGGTGGCAGGAGCCATTTTTTCTTGAATTGGAACAGAGTGCTTCAGTTGCGTAGCCCTTTCTTGGGAATGTACAGGCTTGAGACGAAAGCATGAAAATGAAGTAAGTTGGCCTTGGCTAAGCTTGGTGCTTTTTGACATGAATCTTTCCTGTTCCAAGACGCTATAGTGGTCCACCATGGTCAACCCTCCAAACTGGTGACTTGTTCATGAGGACATGCAGATGGACGTTTTGTTTGGGATCCATGTCGACGTCCGTCCCGCGTTCGGTGCTCGAATGTTTGATGGACACGTGGGTACTTCGCCGGTGAAGCGACACAAACAGAACCTGCGAAATCCAGGGCCGACTCCTCCCATGTTCAATATGACATCAAGCGTGGGGAGGATTCCCAAAAAAGGGAGGGGAAACGAGTAACGAGCTGCGTTTTGCTCGAAAAAAAAAGAAGAACAAACACAAAAGCAGCTCTGCACTGTTCTACCAGGTCCTTCGCTTTGTTTTGGGTGACTTTCCTTGGTGCCGCCCGGACCTTCCCAAGGACCCTTCGGACCCGGCTCTTTGGGCGCCGCTCTGTTCTTCGTCACCCCGCGCGGCCGCGGAGCGGCGCGGGCCAAGTGCGAGGAGCTTGAGAGCCTGGTCTTGGCGGAAACGGGTGGGGAACAAAGGTCGTGATCAGCACACAAGATCCAAAGATCGATCGTGAGAGACAAGTAGATCCGGTGGGAAATCTCTTGAGATCCAAAAGCATGACGAGGTTCAATACAACGAAAAATGAAGTCGTGATGTGAAGATGTCACCGAAAAGGGTGTGCTTCGGATTGGTTTCCTGTCAACTCCTTCACACCCCGTTCGTGGTTCGCGGTCTTCGCCCGTGTCCTGCGCCCGCGTCCTCCTCCGCTCAGGACCCCACGACGTGCCGTCAAAGCGATGAAGGTGAAGAGCCCACGTGACACTTGGCAAAACAAGGATAGAAAGATGTTGAGCTCCTCAAATAGACCATGCATGTCCTGTTGACATTTCTTGGACGGTTTTTGTTGTTCTGCTTTGGTCATGAAAAAATCCAGCCAGCCTGAGCATGTGCTGTGCGTTACAGGTCAGGTACTGTCAAATCAAATCACCACAAGCAGCTGATGAACATCTCCTGCAGGTTTGGGTCGTTGACCAGTTGTGTTGTCCCTAACCATTTGTTGGAAGGTGGGTTTGGTTCTTCCAAGTTTCAGGGGCAAAGAAAGGGGACAGGTTACAAGCTTGTGAGAATCTTGCAAAGATGAAGAATGTGGACAGTTAAAATGTTTCAAGCGCATTAATGATCCACTTCCAACATCCAGTATCCGGGGTGTTTCTTTTGTTACTCATTTCTATGAGAACAAGCTCCAAAACGCTTCACTGGTTGGAAAAATCCTCATGTTGGACCGTATGAGGACTACACAATTGCAATCTCGGCATGCGCCAGGCAGGGTCAGATGCATCTCCCTCCAAGGTTCTGCCCCGCACAGGTGGTACATCAGTGGCATTAGTTCCCCATGCAACAGGTGTGTAAGGGATGTCTAACAAACACACTCACCCTCCTTGGACTGATAACTGATGACCACAAGCTAGATAAGAATAGAGTCATTCAACGAGCGTTCACTTCTTGAAACAGGAGCACGTCTAATGCCAGGTCCAAACTATGGCAGCAAGCACTGGAATTGTTTCAGGAAATGTCCATGGCCAAAGTGGGGCCGGATGCGATTAGCTACAATGCGACCATCAGTGCATGTGAGAAGGGCGGGCAATCCAAGCAAGCTTTGGTGTTGTTTGAAACCATGCTAAAAGCAAGTGTGCAGCCCAATGTCTTTAGCTACAGTGCCATCATCAGTGCTTGTGAGAAGGGTGGGCAATGGCAGCAAGCATTGGCTTTATTTCATGCAATGCCAGCGCAACAGGTACGCCCTAATGTGTTTTGCTACAGTGCGACCATCAATGCCTACAAGAAGGGCGGGCAATGGGAGAATGCATTGATGTTGTTTGCGGCCATGCCTGGGGCGAAAGTTGAGCCGGATATTTTTAGCTGCAGTGCAGCCATCAGTTCTTGCGAGATCGAAGGCAAGTGGGAACAGGCGTTACAGATACTTATGGCCATGCGCAAGGCAAATCTTCAACTTGATATTATCAGCTATAGTGCGGCCACATGTGTTTGTCATAGGGGTGGGAAATGGCAAGGGGCATTGCAGTTGCTTGAGGCTTTGCCAAATGAAACTCTTAAGCTAGATGTTGTCAGCTATAGTGCCACAATCAGTGCTTGTGAAAAGCGCGGGCAATGGCAGCGTGCACTGACATTGTTTGGCATGTTGGCCGGGGCAAAAGTCCAGCGCAACTCAGTCTGCTACAATGCGACCATCAGTGCTTGTGAGAAGGGCGGGCAACTGAAGCAAGCCTTGATGTTGTTTGAAACCATGCCAAAGGCAGATGTTGAACCTGATGTTTTTAGTTATAGCGCAACGCTCAGTGCTTGTGAGAAGGGCGGGCAATGGCAGAAGGCATTGGCATTGTTTTATTCAATGCCAGAGGATCATGTTCAACCTAATGAATTTAGCTTCAATGCTACAATCAGTGCTTGTGAGAAGGGCGGGCAGTGGCAGGAAGCATTGATGTTGTTTGAAGCTATGTCGGGGGCCAAACTTCAGCTGGATATCATTAGCTTCAATGCGGCCATCAGTGCCTGCGAGAAGGGTCAGCAGTGGCCGCAAGCATTAAAGTTGCTTGAGGACATGTCCACCGCAAAAGTGCCGCCCAATGTCATAACCTACAGCGCAGCAATCAGCGCTTGCGAAAATGGGCAGCAGTGGCAGCAGGCGTTAAGGTTGCTATGTTCTTCCATGTCAAAGGCAGAAGTTCAGCCCAACGTGTTCAGCTACAATGCAACTATCAGTGCTTGTGAGAAGGGCGGGCAATGGCAGGAAGCGTTGAGGTTGCTCGAGACCATGCCGAAAGTGCTCCTCCAGCCAGAGCCTCGGCGATTGGATACACTTTACCTGTTGTTCAACGTGTTCAACCAAACCAATATTCCTCTACTTAGGGTACTGTAACCAAAGTTGTTTGGAGAGTGATGGTTTTTTGTTACTCAACAGGTGGCCTGTGTCGCTCAGCAGGCTTCGATTTCTGTGTCGAAGTAAGGACATCATCAGTTATAACGCAGCCATCAGTGCCTGTGAGAAGGGGGAGAAATGGCAGCAAGCTTTTGCTCAATATCTTCAGGCATCCAACGCTCGAGTTCAGCCAGACTGGGCCACTGAGCGCACAGGTTCGAGCATGCGCTGTGTCGGTGGCCGAACAGGAGATCAGGAGATCAGGAGTCCAAACATTCCAAAGGTGCATCGGATTCCCAGAACGTGCGTTTTGGACTCATGCACTACCCCCACTTGGCAGTGATAGTCCACCACTAACCGTACGGGAGATCATATGAGTCACCGGACCGCGGGCGAGATCTCGTCGTGCTCGTGGCAGCACGGCGTGTGCTGAAACGGCGACTGGTGCGTCGTGGGTGTCTTCTCCTCGCACTGAGTGGGATGGATGTCAGATCGATGTTGGCCCCAAAAAACACGAGTGGACTCTTGATGAATAAATACGAGACCCATATGAAGAGGTTCTTCGATCCAAATAGATTATGTTATTGATAAAGAGTCTACACGATTGTAAAATCAAAACAAGCCATCCACCGCGCAGCCGCGCTAAGGGAACCTCCTAATGGTGCACCCCAGTGGTCTTCGAGCGGTTGGTGTTTGGTACTTGGTCAAAGTACATATTTTAGTGTTCAGGACTAGTTGTTTATGCATTTCACACCCTGTTTGGAATGGTTCGCCTCCTGAGAAATATCGTTGATGCCCAAGCCACTTCCAAATTCCGTGATCTTCCGAACTGGCGCATTATGCCAAAGGACCCAATTTGGTTGGATAGCTTGGATAGCTGGGTGAACTCAGCTGAGTGTGAAAAAATCCAAAGATCTTCAACTCGGGGACCCATGAGTCGATAGTCAAACATGGTGGTGATCTGTGTGTGTTCTATGGTTTGAGCCAAACAAAAAAACGGATCGAAGAAGAGGCCGGTGCGCTTCCGCTGCCAACCGGTCGTTGTCTCCCAACGGTTCATGTTTTTCACACGGCGTTCCCAACAGAACCACTGGCTCCCAAGATCTTCGGAGAACGAGGAGAAGAGCGTTTCGACATGGTTTGAACATGAAGGATTCCCAAGGTGAGTCAGTCAACGACTTTGTAACATGGAGTCTACACAACTACCTGTGGTCCATCAGCTTCTGCGAGTTCCAGCTCAGGTGACCTATGAAAGCCTTTTGGAGAGTCCAAGAACCTGCCACAGCGAGATGGGTAGCCACTGCTTCCACGAGATCAACCACCCCAAGCGATCGCGACTGCTGCGCAGCACGCGCTGGGGAAAAGGGACCACCGCAGCGCGCAATGGCCACGTGTGGCCAACTGGGCCGATGAATGGACTGATCGATGATCGATGATCAGCTAGGGAGTGAGGCACTGAGGGTGAATCAGATCCAGTGTGATTCAGGTGGTCAAATCAATTGGGTCCAAGGGAAGCCCTCGGTGACGCTGGTTGCCCACCAAAAATGAGGTACCTTACCTGTGGTACCTGTGGTCGGACGTGTGTGGGGACAAAAGACCTTGGTGGGTTTTGACCTATACTCATTTAAGAGCCTTCGCCTGATTCTCAGAATTTGAGGGGAGTCCGTTTGTTGAGCCATGTGTGGCAACTGAAGAAAGGACTGGCACCGGTCTGGAGGCTTTTGGTCTCAAGTGATGTGCCTTTAAGACTTCCGCCTCCGCCTCCGCCTCTGCCAGGCAGCGTGGCGCTGAAGCGCGTGCTCGCGGAAGCGCGCGTCGTGCCCCGGACAAGCCGAGATCGGTGAGGGTGGACACGGAGCGATCCGGAACCCTTCAATGGGAGAGAGCGGAGACCTGGGAGGGACGAGGCAAGATTTGGGGGTCAACTTCTTTTGTGACACTTCAGTGTCGATGTGGCCAAAAAAAGCATGTGAAATGATGCATTTTAGACCATGAAGGTGGTGAAGCACCAGTGGGGGTGTGGAAGTGTTGCCGTTAGAGGGAGAGAGAGAGTGTCTCAATTTGGTGTTCCACTCCTCTGGCCTTCTTGTAGACGGGCGTGTCTATGACAAAAACATGTGAAGGATTCCCAAGCAGAGCTTTCTGTCCCCTGCCTTTACCAGGTGTTTCCCTATGTTGTGTTGACAAAGGAACAAACAAGAAAGCGTTGCTTCAGAAAGCATCGAGGTGGAAAAAGGTGGTCCAAGCAGTCCGATGACCAAAAAGATGGAATCATCTCCCAGTTCAGAAGGATGTCAGGAGAAGGTTCTTCCTTTAAGCCGTCCATGTTTGCTTCGACACCACAGGTGTCCAACACACAGATCTCCCTGGAACGCACGTGTCCGGAAAAGTTGTTTAAAGAAATGAAGTCTTGGCCCCAAACTCCTTGGGCTGCATTCAGCTTACTAGTAACAAGAAGCTACTAGGGCTTCCTGGCATCACTACTAGGAACAGAAAGCGAACGAACAAAACAAGTGCATCGCTCCGTTCGTTGTCGTCCTTGCTACGTTCCTTGTAAATGCCCTTGTTACGACCGGTTCGCGATGGCACGGTCCGAGGACCGCGCACGACATCCGAAAGGGCGACGGCAGGAGCGATACAAGGCGAAAGGAGTTGACGGGAGGTTGGGAGAAACACCAAGGTGGTGGAGTTGGGTATTGGGTTCACCGGCAACCTCTAACCAAAAGACCTACTGGTTTTTGTATGATTATACCATGAAACGTTCAGCTTTGGATGCACTCGTTCTTTGTGGAGATGGTTGGGAGATCTTGGTGGTGAATCCCCGGTGAAATTGAATCATCAAGGTCGCTTGGATGGATTGTCCCAGTCAGGATTTCCCGCAGCCCACCAACAAGTCGCAGGTTTGCACCTTTTCAACAAGGGGATGAAAAAGCTTTCAAAGAAAGAACAAAGACATAGCATCAAATGTTGAAAACCATCAACTCCTTGAGCCGCTATCCTGCAAGTTGTTTACAGAAGTCCAAAAGCTGAATGGCGGTGTCTGAAAAACGGTTTGGGTCTTCGTCCACCCACCGAGACGGCGCCGGTGTCCACCGGTCGAAAAGGCCCTGCGTGCACAGCTGAAGGCCCTGTTGGGGGGGGGGGGCGAAGCGGTGAAGGAGGACCATCTCGGTGTGCAGTTGAGACCTCAGATTTGGGAGCATTGGAGCATTGATTTTGTTCATGCTGGTGTAGTCAAGATGAGATGGACCTAGCAAAATGCATCGAAATAGACATAAGGAGACCTAGCCATAGCTGACCCAATGATTGGGTAAGTCCATGATTGAAGCTGATCAACTTCTGTGAGGGGGTCGTCCAGTAGCTGGATCTTCCCAAGCAACAGTCCACAAGGCGTCAAGGGTGACCCTGAAGAACATCTAAATCAGACCAGACCTCACGTTATCTACCGTACCCCGGTAAGGATCTGTTTCATCAGGCTCCAAGTGAACCCTCACTATGGATGAGCCTAGTGATCAAAGAAAAACAACCAAGCCACCAACGGTCCACCCGACCACCCAACCACATGCTAGTAGCTTCCTGTTACTAGTATAGTAAGAATGCTCCTAGTCGTAAGGCCAGGAGCGCCGTTCGTAGCGTCCTTGCTCCTAGTAGGCTGCAGTCCTTCTTTTGGATCTTCCCTTCCACGGTCCACCAACCCACTGGTCCAGGTCCGCTCCATGCGCTCCGCCGAACCACCGTTTCGGCAGGTCGCCGTGGCCCTGCAGAACTTCCAGAGGCGGATCCACCGGGGAGGTCGCCGCAGAGAGGGGAGGAGGATCTGGTAGGGGAGATCGCACTGGGAAGACACGACTAGTCTACTGGTGATTTTCCAACAACCATTGATTGTTCCAATGCTTTGAATCCTAAAGAACCGAGCTGTTTTACTAAGGATTTTAGACTACAAAACCAAGTCAACCATTCTTTAAGTGGTCTTTGAAGGCTAGGGGTATGTTGGTATTCTTCTGTATCCAAAGTCTTTCTAGGGTATGATTGTCGCTGCGAAGTTTGTTAGACCCCTCAGCCATAGGCGCGAGGGGCGATGACGTGGGCAAACACAAAAGTAGGGGAATGAATACATATGGCATATGAATTCAATATATGTTTCTATTTGGTTGTTTATGCTTTCTGTTCTGTCGAACTCTTGCCATATACTAGCTCATGGTTGCAACATCGAGTGTCGAAAGGAGAAAGGACCAATCCCTTCTTTGGGTGTCGCTGTTGTTCCGAAGCCGCAGATCAAGTGACAACTATGGTGCTCCAAACCACCCGGAACTCCACGGTCGATTGACTCACAATGCCCACCTGTGCACGAGAGTTTGGAGGGGATCCAAAACCCAAGCAAACCACCAAACCTGGCACTCCCAAAGTGAAGGGTTCCCCTCACATGCCGTTGAGATAAATTGTCTCTCTCTGCTTCTTTATCCTGCCCGGCGTGCCATATGGGTGTGCTTTGCCATAAGGTGGTTGAACTCTAGTGGAAGTGACCTAATCTGGGCACAGCGGGAGCTCCATCCATCGCAGGCTGCTGAACCGGATTCGGCCAGAAGTGTCTGGATGCCCAGAGCAAGAGATGAGACCATCCGAAGTGCCGTACTAGGCCCGGACCGGCCAGTCCCCCCCGGGCAGACCGTGTGGACCGTGCTCGCGGCTTGTCTGCCCGCACGGCTCTGCGGCAGGAAAAGTCTTGCTCTGGGCGAGTAGCGATTAGGGAGGCGAACATGGAAATCTCAACAATGGCCTCCAACCTAGAAGCAAAAGGAAATCTCATGGTGAAGAAAAGCTGCTTGTGGAGTTGTGATCCAATGATGGGATGGCATCGCTCTTCTTGTCGACAGCCTTTTCGTATCATCATCTACTGTTGCGGTGTGGGTAGACTCCTCGTTGATGGCCGTGTTTGGAGCTAGTGGGGTTTCCATGTTTGGGCCAAACGAAAGAGTTGAGACCGTTCCAAAAGAGGCGTTGAAATATTTGGCGCCTGCACTGTGCGATGTGCGGCAGCGGGCAGGTGTGTTTTGGAAAGTATTGGCATCTTCTTTTTCGTAGAGTTGAGATGATTTGACCTCTTCAGCTCCATTTATCTAGTGGCAACCACCTGTTGACCAGTTGCCATCCTCTGCGTCCATCTCATCGCACCAAGCGGGGAGTCGCTCTGTAGTTAGGACCCGCGCACGAGGCATCTCGCATCGCGTGGCATCGCGGAAGTAAAGAGCTCCTCCAGACGTGTGTGTCTTCGATGTGTCCTTCGCCAAAAGGGTGGCGGTCCGGAGCTACCCACAGCTCCCCAGCTCCTTTTAGATGTGTTTGTTCTTGACATATTTCTTCAATGAGCATTTTTCTTTGGGCTCATTCACTGTGTGACTGAGCCTGCTTCCGCTGTTTCACCGACCAGTCCGTGTATCGAACTCCCTCGATGGGCAAGCTTTCCAAGTGATGGAAATCAGCTGATGGAAATCACAGCTGTCCGTCAGGAAAGCCTGGCCAAGATGCTTTATTCTTCCTAAGAAGAAAGGCAAAAGCACCTATGATCAGGAACTCCTAGACCACAGAGCATGTTCTCCCAGCTAGTGGAGGAGATTAATTGCTCAGCGAGAGTCATGATCGTCTTCATTGGCTCTCAGGTGCAATGGTCCATCATGGAAAGACGCTTGAGAAGTAAACACCAACGAAGTTAAAAGATTAACAGAAAACAAAAAGATCCTTCATAGTGATGGCCTCCAACCTAATAGCAATGGCCTCCAACCAGAAACGGGGTAAAAAGGTGCCTAGAGAGCAAACATCTGCAATTTATCCAGGCTGACAGCACAGGGATCTGAGAAAGATCGTTCCATTGGCTGTTCTATAGCTGCTGTTGCCGACCACACCCAACATTATGCTCTGATGACATATCGTTAGCCCACTGCCCCCAAGAAAGCTTTACACTGGAGACAAAGACACGCAACTAAACAGAGATACCGTCCCCCTTACGCCATCGACATGGGGTATTTGTGCGCGAGGTATCAGGATTCGGATTGCCACCGGAAAATTGGCTTCTTCTGTGTTTTGATGTCGACTGAGTCGATGCCACCGGTACTTTTAGGATGCATTTTCAACACAAAGTCTTTCACTCTACCGGTGTGGGTCACGTTAAGGGTCACGGTGTACCAACATCTCTGCGGCCGAATCGCCGGTGTGACCGGTTCCGACGTGGTGAGGACTGGAGTTGGGAGTGGGTTGGTTTGGCGGGTTGTCAGGAAATCGTGGAGAAAAACGCCGCAGGACCTACTCAGGAAAAGTGCATTAACCTGCCCAAGCTCCTTTTTTGGGGGGGGATTGGTTTCCTCACTGAAATCCAACAAGTAGAAAGACTTTAACCGTTATGTTCCAAGGAAACTGAGGGGTTCAGATCGGAGACCGGCAGGACCGAGCGAGGACATTGAATCGCTTGAGTTCCTGAGAGGAACATTCGGTGTTCGGCAAAACGCTTCAAGTCTTCCTGATAGACTTGGGTTTTGATGGTTTTTGTCTGCAGTTTGGAACTTTGGCCCCTTCTGGCTGAGCCCCACCGCTTTCAAGGAGTTTGTCCCCACATACTACAAGCCTGATCGGGACCGGGGTCTTCCTCAATCCCTCTGGTTCAAGAAGGGACCCGTACCTCCAATTGGTTAAACCTGTTGTCAAGCCACCAGTCCAACTTAGGAAGACACCATGGAAGGGGGACAAACACCGAGAGCTTGGCTGAAATCTCACCCGAATCGAATCATTGGCTTTCGTTCCGTTCCTACCCCACTTTGTATCGACGTCTGCCGAGAGCTTGGCTGTCCTCTCTCCCCCATGTTTCGTGCGTACACCGCGGCGCAGCCCTGGGCGAGGATGGGACAGTGCCATGTGGTGCCGTGCTACAGCTTGATGGAGCCGCTTGGACCCGACATGCGGGAGAAATGGGCCGAAGCCGAACGCGAAAGGAAACGTGCCTCAACCCGTTAGGCGCAAGGGCTTCGGCTCCTTTCTGAGCCCTGGTCCGGGCTGTATGTTCCTGGAGCCCGTTGACCTTTGTGATGGGAAAAGATCATATTTTGGTTGGTTGGTGAGCCGACATATAGGTCACTCAGGTTCTAGGTTTGTGTAGCTTTCCACTCCGCTTGGACTCTGGTCGGCTCAGGGGAATGGAAGGATGCTGAAGGAAGGCACTGCACTGCCACCTGTGCTCAAGACAAGAGAAGATAAGAGAAAAACCTAGGGGTGTCACCGGTGGAGCGTCACCGGTGGTGTATCCGATGGTGTCTCCAAGATGCTAGAAGCATTAAATGAGTTGAAAGAAGTAACTTCAAATTGTGGATGTCTTTCGTTACTTAGTCCTTTTTCTTTGGAGCCGTCGGCCGTCGGCCAAAACAGAAACGAGAGCGTTTGTTTGTGTGGGACATGTCGGTTCGGAAGTTCTGAGAAACACCGGTTCACGTTTCTTCCGCGAATGGTGAGTCGCTTCGTCGGATCCATAGAGGTTGGGAGTCTGAGTTTCCGTAGCAAGTGGTTGACCTCTTTGATATGTGTCTGACCTTGTGATTTGACCAGGTTTGACCAGCTGTTTTCAGCTTGAGCCCAGCAGACCAGATGTCCCTGTGGACGGTCTCACCGGGTGCGCCGGTCTCACGACCGGAGAGGTCCTCCTACGACGTGAATTACCTGATCCGCGGCCACGCCGGGCGGCCCAGCGACAGCAACAGCGAAGGCAACGCCGGGCTTTCAATAAAAGAAGAAGAAGAAGAAGCGCCTTTGTGCGCATTTTGAGTTGGCATGTGTATTCTTGGTGTGAACAAGATGTGTGATGTGTTCGTCGAGATTCCTGCCTTGTTTGCAACACTTTCCTAAAAGACCTCCTGTGGATACCAAGTACCCTTTCTGGCCCTTTGTGCCACCACTATCCTTCAAAGACGTCATTTGGATCCCCTTCACCGGCTCTTTACCGTGCTTGGAACAATCCTTGACGGGTCCATCTCTACCATCTGGCCCAAGCAGCAGAGGCACTTGGTAAAACAAGTCGCTTTGGTCCAACTTGAGTGAACGCCCGGAAGCTGCGATGCATCGCATCGGTTCTGCATGAAGTGCCCTGGATGGCATCGCCACAGCCAGCCACTGGGACTTCCTGCTTCGAACGAGCAGAACGAGCAAGCTCGAAGCCTTTGAGACTCGGATGTGCTGATTCGATGTGGTTAGTTCTTTTCTCTTTCGTGATGTTTCTTTGGATCGAAGACGCAAAGGTGTCGGGACTCTCTTCAGCTGAGAGTCTCCAGAATTGATGGAATCGTGCTGAGGACAGCAGAGCTGTTTGGATCCGAGTCGGTGTCTCCCCCCGTGGCCAAACAGACTTGATCCTCCTCCCATCCTCGTTCCATGATCTTGGATCAGACAAAAAAAACAAAAACTACCATCTGAGGCACTTGCAGGTCGAGGCACATCATCATTTTGTCTTCCGCCACCGGTTCCATCTGCCATCTTCGATGGCTCGCAAAAAAAACCAGGAGCTTTCCACTTCAGCGCCACTCTCCGTCCTCCGGTGGCGTTCTGGTGCTGGGCGGCCGAGCGTCGATGGAGAGCCGACGGAGGAGTCTGCGACGAGCAGAGAGGTTGGGCGGGGGAGCACCTCAAAAGGACGCAAAAGCAAACTTAATAGCAAAAGGAACCTAATAGCGATGGCCTCCAACCTACTAGCGATGGCCTCCACCCTAGGGAGCTTTGGGAAGTTCTTTCACATGTCCCTCATGGGGTGGGTTCTAGAGTGATCAAGACTCTTCCAAATTGGATTTGTTCGCAACATCTATGAGAATGCAAGGAGCTTTTTGATTAAGGAGTTCGTCCCTCAACACTGAGCATGTCTCTTGGCCACCTGGGACAGTACAGAGTATGGTTTTGGTTGCCGGTAGCAAGTCACAAAATAGAAACCACTCGGTCGGATGTTGAACATATCAAAAGCCGACCGGTGAGTGAAGAAAAAGAGCCAACGACTTCACAGTCCAGACCCATTCCCACCTGCAGGTCCCGAAAGGTAGAAGCGGAGGAGTTCGTGCAGAAGCTGTGCCAAGAGCTGACTGAAAGAAAGTTGCATTGACTTGAGTCGTTTTCTTTTTTTCTTATTTTTGCGTGGCCCGGGCTAAAGTCCAGGGTGATATAAGTGGTTTTGGAGTTTGGAGCTGCCCAGTAGCAAAACCTTGCGTGGTGGAAGTGATGGAGATGGACAGAAGAAGCGCATGCACTCACCTTGGGAGGAATTCATACCAAGACAAGAGAGGTGTTGGTGCCACCTTCTAGCAGTACTCACTTGTAGGACATTGTAGGTTCAATGTTTTGAGAAGAGCCCCCTGTCGATTGGACCGATCTAAACGTGTTGCATGCATCAAACGTGTCAGCCCACGTGTTTCTAAGGAAATCTTCGGGCGGTTTTACTGCCAGAAGTGAGGCGTTCCAAGCAGCTTCTTCCGCGGGTCTTGGACATGTTGGGCGAACAAAGACGAGCGAATCTGATGTATGCAGCCATGGAAGCAATCAGATGTGATGGTACCATGCAGCTAAAGGAGTCCAGCTACATAGTCACCACTGCAACTTGTGTGCGAGCAAAAAGATGGCAGCAGGCATTGAAACTGTTCAAGGCCATTCCTGAAGCAAGAGTGACACCCACTCTCATCAGCTACAACCTGGCCATCAGTGCCTGTGAGAAGGGCGGGCAATGGCAGCAAGCATTAAAGTTGTTTGAGACCATTCCAAAGGCAAAAGTACGGCCCACTGTAATCACCTGCAACGTTGCCATCAGTGCTTGCGCGAAGGGCGGGCAATGGCAGCAGGCACTGAAGTTGTTTGAGGCAATGCCCAAGGCAAAAGTGCAGCCAGATGACATCAGCTACAACGCAGCCATCAGTGCTTGCGAGAAGGGCGGGCAATGGCAGCAGGCATTGAAGTTGTTTGAGTCCATGCCCAAGGCAAAAGTGCAGCCAGATGTCATCAGCTACAGTGCGGCAATCAGCGCCTGTGAGAAGGGCGGGCAATGGCAGCACGCTTGGAAGCTTTTTGGTGCCATGCCTCTCCAAGAAGTCCAGCCAAATGTGATCAGCTGCAACGCGGCCATAAGTGCTTGCGAGAAGGGTTGGCAATGGCAGCAAGCATTGAAGCTGTTTGAGGTCATGCCAAAGGTAACAGTGAAGCCAGATATCTTCAGCTACAGCGCGGCCATAAGTAGTTGTGAGAAAGCTGGGCAATGGCAGCAGGCATTGAAACTGTTTGAGGCCATTCCTAAAGCAAAAGCGAAGCCCACTGTTATCAGCTACAACGCGGCCATCAGTGCCTGTGAGAAGGGCGGGCAAT